GAGTTGGGACATGAATGATTCTGAATATAGGACTGTTAGGTGAATAATACCTTGAAACACCTCACATCACAAATTCCATTCAGTTCTCAAATTCAGCATCCACCTAGTTCATCCAGGCTTTACTAAGCCCCTATTCTATATGCAGAGCACAGACCCGGGGGTTGTGTGTGGGGAGACTAATGATCTCAAAAAGCTGTCACAAAGGTTGGGAAACTAGATGTTTAAACAAATAACTATGAAATCTGAAAAAAGATTTCAATTTTTTCATCTCTTTTTTACTGTTCCTCTTTGTTTAATATTTTGCTCTTTTTTTCTCTAAGGAGGTATCTCGCACCCTCTGCTCTAAGTTTGACTATGTTGATGAATTACCGGCTCTACTCAGCCACGGAGCTGCCTGGGTTACAACCTGAATGATATTTAAGGGGCCCAGGTGAAAGCTGTGAACTGGACAACAATTGCACGAGATTTTCACGGTGTCACTGTAAACACCCTCTAGGGAAGTAGTATTTCCTTGAAAAAAAGCCAAATTGAACTTAGCCAACAGTATAAGTTAAGAAGTTAGGGATGAAACAGGGAATGGCCAATTCCCTCTCTGAGACTAAGCACTTACAAAAGCCATTTCAAACTTATCCCATTTGGGGCTTCCCTGGTGGCACAGTGGTTAAGACTCCACCTGTCGATGCAGGGGACACGGGTTCGTGCCCCAGTCCGGGAGGATCTCACATGCCGCGTAGCGGCTGGGCCCGTGAGCCATGGCCGCTGAGCCTGCGCGTCCGGAGCCTGTGCTCCACAACGGGCGAGGCCACAGCAGTGAGGGGCCCGCATACCGCAAAAAAAAAACACAAAAAAACCCCTTATCCCATTTGTAAAATTTGAAACAGCAGGGTATACAGAGCACCAGACACTGACCGTCAGCTGGATAACTACTGTGCAGCCTGGCCATGAGGCCAAGAAAAGTGGCTACTGCCCCTCTCCACCTCCCTGAGGGCCGGCATGCAATCCCTCAGGCCTAAAGGGGGACACAGACCTGGCTGGTGCCAGGCTCCGCCTTCTGGAAGGGATGTGTGTGACCTTGGGCCAAACCTCACGAAGCCTCAGCTTAGTCAATAACAATAACAGTAGTAGATAATATGATAATAAAGATAACAGCATCAACCTGTTGGAAGATTAAATGAGATAAAACAGGTAATGCATGCAGTTAGTGAGCTATTAATTTAGAGTTTTTAAAGATTTTTTATTTAGGTACAGTAAGATTTACTTCTTTGTGTGTGTGTGTGTGTACAGTTCTGTGGGTTTTAGCCCATGGATGGATTCCTGCAACCATCACTATAAACAGGTACAGGGCAATCCCAACATCCCCAAAGATTCCCTTGTTTTGCCTCTTTTCAGTCAAGACCTTCCTCAACCCCTTGACCTTGTCCCCAGAGGTCTAGGCTGTCCAGAGTGTCATATAAATAGAGTCGTGCAGGATAAAGGCTTTGGAGTCAGCTTCTCTGATTTGGCATAATGCATTTGAGATGCACCCAAGTGTTGTCATATTAATAGTTGCTCCTTTCACTTGCTGAGTAGTATTCTACTGTGTGGATGGACCATAGTCTGTTACTCCATTCATCCACTGAAGGACATCCTGCTGGTTTCCAATTACAGGCAATTGTAAATAATGCTGCTATAAACATTTGTTACACGGTGTTGCATGCACATAACTACTTATTCCTATAGGATAAATAAATATCTAGAAATTGAATTGTTGGGTCACCTGGCAAGTGCGATGTTTAACTTTATAAGAAGCTGCAAAGCCATTTTCCAGAATGGCTCTACCCTTTTACATCCCACCAGCAACGTATGAGACATCGAGTCACTCCACGTTATTGTCAGCACTTGGCATTGTCAGTACTTTTCACTTTAGCCATAATAGGTGTGTAATGTTAGTTATTTAAGATGGAAACATTTATATGTGACTGTACCTAATCATCTACTTTATAAGATAACAATGTTCAGAAGCAGCTGAGGTCACAGAAATCAAGTTTCTTTAATGGCTAACCACCACCTTGGAAAAATCTAGAAATTTCCAGCACAGCAAAAAGGCATCTCATGGTCTGGCTCTTCCCCACTTCTTCAGCCTCATCTCCTGTCGTTCTCATTCTTGGACCCTTCAACCAGCTAGATCAATAATAATATTAAGTAAGATGGATTGAGTCTTTACTACGTGCCAGGGCACTAAGCCACATCCGTCACATGTATGATTTCATTTCCACCTCTCACTGCCCTGTAAGGCCCATATTAGCAGGAATCTTATTTCTGTATTACAGAGGAGAGCACTGATACTCAGAGAGATTGGGAAACTTGTCCAAAGATGCACAGCTGCTACATGGCAGGGCTGGGATTCGACCCCATCAAGCCCCAAACACGACGTGCTCCCCAGACCCCTGAGTCTGTGCTCTCCTCTTGCTGAGAGGCTCACGCTTTGCCTTCTCTGGGAAACTCTCTCTGGCTCTTGCAAGGCACGCGTAGCAGTCCTCATCTCAGCTCTCTTATCAGCCTCTGTTTCTTTACTTCATCCCTCTCCACTCGGTGTCCTGCTTGCCTCCGCCACCAACGGTCACAAGCATCTCGAGGCAGGAATCAGATCTTTTCACCCTTCCTTCCCTGGCGCCTGGCACCTACGAGGTCCTCAACCCCCGCTGTAGCTGTCAAGCCGAATGAGGGATCAGGCAGGTCCTACAAGAAACCCTGTTGCACGGAAATTTTAAACATAAGCCAACAGTCCTTCAAAATACATCCATCTAAGACCATTACATACTGAGTAAGAACTTACAGTCAGAGAAAGGACATTACACAACCTTACATATAACTCTTGAGACAGACTCAGAGCTCCATCCCTGTCAGCATCAGACAGAATTTGGGATATAATACAAGAGGACAACAGAGACATTCACCCAAGGTTAACAGCTTTAGGCCAAAGGGCAAAAAAGAGAGGGAGAAAGAAGGAAGGAGCCCTTTCTCACATTCATGCTATAATGGTTTTCCCTCTTGTTTACATAAGCACTGTGTTTTTTTTTTTTTCCTCCATTTATGGTAGCAGGGCTATTACAATGTTTTATTCCTCTCTTTCTATCACTCTCAATTTAGAAGGATCATTTTTGACAGCAAATTAATTAAAAGCAATTCATTAGCCCAGAAAGCACCTTGAGGGATGTGGACTCTTTGCCTCTGGAAAATCTGACTGCAAACCATTCCAGAAAGATGGTGACTCTGCCACTGGAGCACAGCTCACACCCACGAAAGGTCTGGAAGAGGCAGCTCTCCACACTGTCTGGATTCCATGAATAAAGTTGAATGAACAAGTTAACTTTTTAAATTGAGGCATTAATGGTATCAAATGGCAATAATCAGATGTTTCAGGGGCCACAGAATCTTCTCCACTGTTCTCCCACGTAAGGAATTTGCAAACTATGGCGACTTATGTACCAACTAATGAATCCAAGGCTTTCTATCCAACTTTCCTATCTATTGATAAACGTTTGCAAATTCTAAAGGCCTGAATACAGAAGTTTAGCCTCTCACAATTCAGAGCAAAGCAGCTTAGGGACAGAAAGAAGGAAAATGAGGGGCTGTTCGTCCGCAGAAATTTATTAACATTCCCACCATGGCAAACCTAATTTGCTGTTCCCAAGGCCCATGAAGAAGCATTTCCTCCAGCCTAAGCTCCCGTGACCCACTCCTCCAACTGCATTAAAAGGATCCCAAGAAATACCTGCTTTAGTTCTACGGTAGGTTTGTCCCTTCACAAGCTCCACAAAAGCCCCATCACCCGGACTCAGGGTCATCTCCTCACCTCATCCTGTCATCAAAGTTCATACGTGGAGAATTAAATACAATATTGTTCCCGTACTTAAATACAGATCATCTGTTTTTTAAAGTAAGGCAGAAAAAAAGATAACAAACCAGTGTCTTGAAGTCCAATTTCTCTACACAAGGTTTCAGAGACCCCATCACCATCATGCTTCAAGAAAGGAAAAATCACCTCATATAATTTAGTCACAAAGAACACAGAGGAGGATTTACTTTAGAAGTTTCCATCTCTGTGTCCACATAGCATCTAAGGCCAAACGATAGGCATGTTTCGTGTTTGTAGTTAGATGTAAACAGCTCTACTTTGGAATAAGAAGCATCATGTCTTCCCTGTATATATGTGCACACCAGCGCCCTGGTGCATTTCACAATGACAGCCATGAGCTGGTTGATGTATCTAACACAGCCTGGCAAGACAAGATGACCTTCCTAATTGTCACGATGAGAAGTACCATTGCAAGTGACTCTGAAACATATGGTAAACTCCACTATGCTAAAATATAATAGCTTCTTCTGTGGGGCTCATGATGAATATTAAGGTCAGGGCTCCTGAGGAAAATGTGCCCTAAATTTTATATTCTATAAAACCCCTTCAATACCAAAGAGAGCATTTATTTATTGTCTTCAGGCTTCTTCACAGATGCTGTTAAATATTCCATTAAACATGGCAAAATGGAATGAATAATCATGGAACACTGGAGAGGGTTGGGATAAAGATCCCCTTAACAGTATCAAGCCAAGCTCCAGGCAAGACAAGAACAAAATGTCTTGGACTAAAAATACAGGTTCAAGGAGGACACAGAGTATACAGAGAGGGGCCTCCCTGGTGGCGCAGTGGCTAAGAATCCAGCTGCCAATGCAGGGGTCACGGGTTCGAGCCCTGGTCCGGGAAGATCCCACATGCCGCGGAACAACTAAGCCCGTGTGCCACAGCTACTGAGCCTGCGTTCTAGGGCCCGCGAGCCACAACTACTGAGCCCACGAGCCACAACTACTGAAGCCCGCGTGCCTGGAGCCCGTGCTCCACAACGAGAGAAGCCACCGCGATGAGAAGCCCGCGCACCGCAATGAAGAGTAGCCCCCGCTCGCCGCAACTAGAGAAAGCCTGTGCACAGCAACAAAGACCCAACGCAGCCAAAAATAAATTCAAAAGAAAAGAAGAGTATACAGAGAGGCAAGTCAGTGAGCTCTGCTGCTAGAGAGCATCTTCACAGAGATCTCAGGGGAGCTGCTCCTGGAGAGATGAGGGAGCACTTCACACGCTGCATCCAAGCACGCAGAGACCGAGGGAAGTTTAGCGGGTCAGAGGAAGCGGTCAGGGTAACGCCCAGAAGGGATGTAGGGAGTGGGCACTTGGGTGGATGAGGGTGCGGGATATTCCAAAGGTAGAGGAAAGAAACCCACAGCCAAAAGGCATAGGAACAGGTGATTGGGGCGGTGGGAGAATCTGATACCCAAGAGCGGCAGTAGACAAGGCGGTGCCTTCCTAAACCCCAATCGTAGTCATTTACGGTGATGACACATCGTCCATGGAAAGGGATCTTTGACTTAACACCCAGCACTGCTTATTGTCTGTGGAGAGAAGGGGAGAGACATGCCACAGACCCAACTGCTCTCCATGAAAAGCCAGTGACGGTTTCAAAGGTCACCCCATCCGTCTGGCCCTCACCACGCCAGGCCAGCCTCCATCACCAAGTCCTGTGACTCTCCCTCAAACTGCAGCCTCAGCGGCCCTACACACCATCAGTAGACACGCTCCTTTAGTCCGTGAGATAACAGCATGCTTGGGAAGAAAAAAATTCCCATCGGCAGGAGCGGTTTTTCTAATGGATCTATTTAAGTAAATGGGAAATTTTTTTAAAAGGCCAAAATACAGTGAAGTACTCAATGTAAGATACATCATACAGAAAAAGTAAGGCAATGGACATGACACTGCACGTTTCTCTCAGCTTCTTTATTTTAATGGTCGTGAAAATGTAAAACACTCCCTTCCACAGATTTCTTGTAAAAAGTGAGATTGGTTTATTAAGGTCCCAATTGCAGCTGTTCCCTCTGCATCACAGTTGTTTTAAAGGCCAGGGCCAGTAAATGTTAATACACCGAGTGGAAACAATGCCTCTACTCGGGAAAACCTACGTTGTTTGTTAAATGCTTTGCACCCTAAGCCTCAAGAAGTTTCAGAATTCACTCTGTTACCTCAACATGTTATCATTGTTTATAAAGATTTCTCCTCTTGGTCCTTTATTAATCATGATAATGGGTTAATTTCACACATATACACACAACATACAAACAGGAAAAAATAATAATAACCATATTAGGTAAAGATTAGGAAACCATCAAGTTCTCCCCACCCCTCCCCCAAAAAAGGACAAGGGATATGGATAATACACAATGGGAAAAATCATAAAGGCACCAAAAAAGCAAGTTCAACCTCATTATTAGTCAAATATATGCCAAAATAAATCATGAATCAAATACCATTTCATTATTGTTATGATGCTACATAATTTTTTTAAGAAATAACCTTTAGTGTTGGAAAGGATGGACTGGGAGTATCAGTTAAACTGGTATAATCTTTTTGAAAGTCTTTGCAGGATGTATCAAGTCATAAAATGATTGTGCTTTTTGGCCCAGAAATCCCATTCTCACATTACCTTCAGAAAGGAATTCATAAACTGATCATTAACCAAATCAAAATAAGGAGAGAGTTAAGTAGGTCATGGTATATTGATTCTTAGAATGTTATACAGATTCTAAATACCAAACTGGAACGCTGTGTTACAACAAGGAAATGGAAATACGTGATGAGGAATCCAGCTCTGGAACCAGACAGGTCTGAGTCACGTTCCAGCTGTTCACTCCCATCCACAACGCTCCCAGCTCACTGAGCCTCAGTTTCAGCATCAGTAGAATAGAATGATTCATTTTTCTGAACGTACAGCCATAAGGATTGAATGATGTAATGCTTTCATTACTGTCACATAAGGCTAAGAAGGTACAGTTGTGCCCATACTCTGAGTACAAGTGTGAAAAATGTCTACGTGTGGTCCAGGCACTGGAGGGGACAGCAAAAATGCACCCAGGGGCTCTGCTACAAAAGTTGGATGATGGACATTTTTTGTTCGATTTTTCAAATGTGTTTTATTCTTATGATATTTTGTGAAGTAAATTAAAAATTGAAAAGAAAAAAAAAAAAAACCCACTAGAGCAACTCCAGGAATCTCATAAGCTTCAACATCAGAGGATTCTTGTGTAATCCGTCAGGAAAATTACTTCACCTCTGAAGGCTGCTGCATTCTCAGGATTCCAGACACTGGGGAATTTCAGGGTTGGGTGACCTTCTCAGGGCAGACCTGGAGTTTGGTATTCAGCCCCTACTGTTCCTCAGTCTCTGAAAAGAATACAGGGTTGGGTGAAGGGCAAACAGACATTCGCCAAATTCTAATTTATGTGTCTTGCTGATACAATTGGGACATATGGACCAAAGTCAAATGCTGGATCAGATACAAAGTTAAAAAGAGGCTCAAGGACTTCCCTGGTGGCCCGGTGGTTAAGAATCCGCCTGCCAATGCAGGGGACACGGGTTCGATCCCTGGTCTGGGAAGATTCCACATGCCACGGAGCAACTAAACCCATGCTCCACAACTACTGAGCCTGTGCTTTAGAGCCCAAGAGCCACAACTGCTGAGCCCGCATGCTACAACTACTGAAGCCCGCGCACCTAGAGCCCGTGCTCCGCAACAAGAGAAGCCACCTCAGTGAGAAGCCCGCACACCGCAACGAAGACCCAACGCAGCCAAAAATAAATAAATAAATTTATTTAAGAAAAAGAAAAAAAGAGACTCAAGACTCTGGGACTCAGTCACCTTGTCCCAGCAGGACCAGGCTTCCTTTCATTAATTATACCCTGAAGTCATAATATATTTACATTAGACTCTTTCTTGGGAAAGGCAATATAATATTTAGAAATACATAAAGTGTAAAGCAGCTTTAGTAACACAGATGAAAAGAGAGCTGCTCAAAACAGCGTAAAATAACCAAAAGTTTAACATCATTTGGCAAATGAAAAGAAAAGAAGTCTGGTTACCATTAAATTTAAAAGCAAAGTATGCAATCAGTTGTTAATGAGTTATAAAAACTTTGGATAGTTTAATGTCAAAAGACAAATAAAATTACCTTCTATAACTATGTGAGCATGTGAGCGATCAGCATATCTGGTTTACACATTTTTGATGTCAAGTCAGTAGATCTTTAAGCAATTCTTGATTGTTTCTGCCATGCTATAAATATTAAATTGCAGTGTATTGGCTTAGAATTGTCCATCCCGACAGGGATCCAACCCTCCCCAATTACATAAAAATCTGGAAGGAAAGTGGATGAGGCAGGATGGCCCTCCCCAGAACTATGGTGGGACCTGGGCAGCAAAATTTGGTGCGACAAAATCATGAGGTCAGAAAACACTTACGAGCATACTCTCTCTCCTTTACAAGAGCTAGGAAAACCTGAAAAACCAAATTAGCAACAAAGGATCTCTCAAAAAGAATTGTCTCTCTTGGGTTGCAAAACATATGGCAGCTTCAAAGAAGAGGAAGTACACAGCAAAAACGGCAGGAGGCCATAACTCATGGCAAAGCCAAAGAGGAAAACAAGACATTTCTTATAAAATTAAGCATTGAAAAGACTGTGACAGTATAAAATAGGTCACAGCACCAATAAAATTGAATTCTGCAAAACCTCACAAAGTTGGACTCAGAAAAACAAAAGAAGAATCAGTCTTAATCTTGCAAAACCCTGAATTATAGAATATAATAAATGTTGTTTATTTAAAGTTCAAAAACTCACTCGAGAGAAGCTTAGAATGGCCATCACATTTTGCAAGTTAATTCCTTGTAATTAATAGGGTGGCATATTAGTAAATTCTTACAGGCAAACAGGGCTTATCGTGGTTCTCCCCCAGAAACTCTGACTGGGGTATCAATATACTATTAATGCCTGAACTTATAGGAATACAAAGGAAAACACTGACATTTAAGCATTTTTGAACAGGAAGTTGAACTAATCATAGTTCTTTGAAAAAAATATCAAAAAGTGATTTGAAGTTACCAAATATGTATCCAGTTGAATTGCTATAGCTCAACTTTTTTCTCATTTGTGGTAGTATGCTAAGTCCCTGTTAGTCATCCTTCCAAAATAAAGAACTTGGGTTTTAATACAAAATATGTGAGTATCATAGGGGTGATAACCTACAGAACCTCCTAGCAATTTAAATGATCCATCAGGTGTAGGAAAACTGCAGGCAGCAGATCATCATTTCAGGCATGAAATATAGAGCGTGTACTCAGAAATTTCAAAAATGAAAACAGCCTCTCTTTTCAGGACACTCAACATCATCAAGAGATCCTGTCAGTAGACTTTTGTTTCATAGTCATGACTCTGAGTGTAGTACTGAGGTAGGGGGTGGTGAGGGTGAGGGAGGGTGGAAAAACCTCATGTTTGGGGATCAGGTTCATAAAGAACATAAAGCCACATAAAAGGTGAAATCGCAGGAAAAAGGGATTCAAATCCTGGCCCCGACCCCTCATGTCTGTGTGACTTCGGACAAGGTGCCCATTCTCCCTAAGGCTCAGCGTCTTCACCTGTGAAACAGAGATGGTGCTGGGCTAGCCACACAGAGTGTCCAGATGATCAGACTAAATGCACGTGCAGCCTTAGCGTAAAAAGGAGAGAAACCAACACTTGTCACTGAAGAGAAAGTGACAACATACAGGGGATCATTCCTTCCTTTCAAAGAACATATCAAATCCATAAAAGCTAGAGCGAATCTGCGCACCTGGTCAAGGGATCCAATAAATATACGCTAAATATATACAATAAAGATCAAAGGAAGAAGAAATCCCAACAGCACTCACTTTTAAACCCATAAGGATTTATATGAGGATAATATGAATAAGAGAATTAAGTTCCACTAATTCCAATCCAGTTCTAATAATCATAACAATAACACACTATTTTCAGATCATGACATAATGCTGAAGTTGTTCGGGTAACTGAGGGTAGTACAACTCCCACCCAGGGACGTTTAAACACAGGTGTGGAAAGATATAAATGGAAAAATAAAACAATGAGGCTAATGGAAGAAGAAGCAGGAGAATGTCTTTGTGACTTAGGATGGGGAAAGGTTTCTTAAACAAGACCCAAATATACAAAACTTCAATCACTAAGATGTATACTTTAAATATCTTACAATTTTGTTTGTCAATTATACCTCAATAAAGCGGAAATTTTCTTAAAAATGAAGAAAAAAAACAGGTTTGGGAGGTACAGGGGCACAAAAGACAATGCTGACGGATGTGAAACATTCTACAATACAGGATACAGGCCCACACCACAAACAACCCCCTCACCCCACCACGGCCAAGGGCACTCCTCCAGGAATCTTGGCATCCCACTTACCACTATGCTTAGCTTAATCTTCAGGAAAGAGTGTATGAGTGTGCACGGGTGTGCACACACCAAGGTCTTCAAAAGCCCCGAGTCCAAATGATGAAATGTAGCAAGAGACTAGGACAGGCACTGGTTGCCGAGAATGACCCGCAAAGCAGAGCACATGTCAAATACCTAAGATTCACATGTACCCACCTTATAACACAGAATCAAGTCCCTGCTCCAAACAAATCAGCATGTCAGAACACTGCCTGTTGCAACTGGGTATGAAATACCCTTGACGTTGTCATTGTATTCCCACCTAGGGGCTCTGTTAAGGGAGTATTGTTACGGGAGTATAAAAAGCAAATGGAGAGACAGGTAGAAAAGGAAGTAGCATCAGTAAGGATTTCTAAAAAATAATTGCATGGATAAAAATAGGAGAAGGAAATCAGAAATAGTTGAAAGCAAGAAAAAAAGGGAACAATGTTGGACAGAATCATGGGAATTCAAGACCAGTAGGGACTAGAGTAACTGGAGTAACATGGAGACTTCCTCTCTGGCAGGGACTGTCTGATTCATTCTGATTCATTCTGGAACACAAAGGTGAGCACGGTGCCTGGCATATTGTAAGTGCTCAATAAATGCTTATTAAAATGATGGATGCACGCAACAGATGAAGGGATAAAGAAGATGTGGTACATGTATACGATGGAATACTACTCAGCCATAAAAAAGAATGAAATAATGCCATTTGCAGCAACATGCGTGGACCAGAGAGATTACAATACTCAGTGAAGTAAGTCAGAAAAAGAAAGACAAATACCATATGGTATCGCTTGTACGTGGAATCTAAAGTATGACACAAATGAACCTATTTACGAAAAAGAAACAGACTCACAGACATAGAGAACAGAGCTGTGGTTGCCGGGGGGAGGGGGCTGGGGGAGGGTCGGAGTGGGAGGTTGGGATTAGCAGATGTAAGCTTTTATATATAGGATGGATAAACAACAAGGTCCTACTGTATAGCTCAGGGAATTATATTCAATATCTTATGATAAATCATAATAGAAAAGAACATAAAAAAAGAATGTACATATATATATATAACTGAATCACCTGCTGTACAGCAGAAATGAACACAACACTGTAAACCAACTACACTTCAATAAAAAAATTAAAACGATGAATGCATGGGTGGCAATGAAACTTAGAGATCTGGTTCTCCTGCGTCATACGTCAGGCACCTGGGAAGCAGAAAGAATTTCATCCATCAAACCTCACACCGTGATGCTATACATGCCAGGTGTGACGCGGGTGATGGGAACCAACAGAACGGAAACTAAACTGAGGCCTCCTATGAACTAATACAGGCTTTTTGCACTGCTGTGGGGATGCCTCCCAAAGGGATTATCACAATTGTTTAATAAAAGAGGAAGGAAGTTAATTATGAATTTCAAGCTTAGAAATTCACAGGCAAAAGTGGCTGAAGAGAAATAACCATACTCAGAGAGAGGCAAGAATAAACTAGAAAGAAGAAGACCTTGGAGAGAAACAAAAAATGCAAATGCATGTTTAACTGGGATCCTGATAACATAATTAATAAGACGAATCAAAGATAAATGATTAGAGATGTGAAGGCTCAGCTCACAGAAAAACCTGAGAAAAAAAGATTTTGTAAGTTTAAAAAGAAGTTTCCCTTCAAAAGGTTCATATTATACATATATTCAATCTAAACAAACAAAAATTTCCACTCAGAGAGGCAGACACAATTAAGATATTTCCCATATAACAATCTAAGTTCCTTCCCGTACAGAACCTGCAAGGGTCATCTGGTTCCCAAACAAATAGCTCGGGTCTCATTTACCAAAAACTCTATCACGATTCTGGCCCAAAGACAGCCAAGTTGTCCACCAAGCAAATTTTAGTCAAAGCTCAGGGGAAGAAGAGACATTTGGTGTGTCTACAGAATGGGATCTCTAACCATCCCTTTAGGTTCTAGGGACCTAGGACCGGTGATGTCAGGTCACTGGAAGATTCCATATTTAAACTCAATTAGCCCAAGCCCGTCCTAATTCACTTCCATGGCATTATACGTTAACAAAAGGTTTCTTAACATTTGGAGGAACTTAGAAAGACTCCTCCAAAAATCTGCTGAGTAACTGAATCTTTGTGTGGAAAAAATGTACAAAATCACAGATATGAAATCTGTGTACAGTTTCAGTCTACCCATGAACTCCTGCTTTCATCCGCTAACTTTTTTTCTCAAAGGTGGTTGGTAACAGCCATGTGTGCTTTTGCATTTGCTATAAATCTATTCATGAGGACTTTCCATTACACTCTCAAAAAAATCATCTTTAAGAATTTAACACCACTCCACATTCCTGAAAACTTTGGGCTTTAAGCTACTTTTGAGGAAAACAGACGATGCTTCACCGATCTTTTTTGCTCTGGCTTCTAGGAAGTTCATGATCACATCATATTCTCAACCAAAATAATTAACACTGATCATTAGCATTTTCTTGTCTCAACTTTTCCATTTTAGTTGTTAATTTTGTTGTTTCCATCTTTGATATATACTTATATATATTCCAGGCCTCCATTTCTTCCCCATCCCCCCAAAAAAAGACAGATTTTATTCCCCTGTTCTAATTTTTCTCGAAAATTTTATCTAAATACAGCTAATAAATGTGGAAAGGGAGTGACTGCCTGTATATGCAGAAACTGTAAGGCACACAATCTCTAAACCAAAAGCTTTTCCTTAAAGTGACTTATGAAAGATGTTTCACCAGTGGACTTAAGAGTTAAAAAAACTAATACCTCACTAAAGGGCATCATACTTCCTTTTATTAGCTATCAGGAGGTAGTCCAAAAATAAGGGCAGGATTGTATGGGTGTGGCCTTTCTAACCTAAAGCAAAAGGTAGGTACTAGCCCCAAACCGTAACTGAAAAGTTGACGCCACTTCAACTTTATCACCCTTAAAAACTGTCCCTTGGGACTTCCCTGGCGGCCCAGTTGTTGCGACTTCGCCTTCCAACGCAGGAGGTTCGGGTTCGATCCCTGGTCCGGGAGCTAAGATCCCACATGCCTCTTGGCCAAAAAACCAAAACACAAAACAGAAGCAGTATTGGAACAAATTCAATAAAGACTTTAAAAAAAAAAAAAAAAACTGCCCCTTATCTGCCTTCCACTTCCTCCTTACTCACTGAAAGGCAAATAAATGAGTTTAAGCTGGACACAGACAGCCATAGCTCCCAGAAAAAAACAGCATTTGACACCCACACTGAGAGTCTCTTTATGCATTTCACAGACCCTACACAGATTCCTGACAGCTCACTGGGCCACAGGCTCCGCCAGATTTTTGAGCTACATCTGCAGTATCTTTTCTACTTGGGCAGCTCGCGTAAACTGGGAAAATTCATTAACATGCTAATGATGTTCTATTTAAAATTCCAGCCCTGATTATTCTGTGATTAAATCTCTCCCCTTGACGTCTGCTTCCTTTATATCTGAGTTATAGTACGAAATCAACAATATTAATAAAGTACAATACACATTACCAACTTATCCACAAGGGATGGAAAAACACTTATGTAAATCTCGGGGTTGTCTTTTTTTTCTGAAAAGCAGATGTAGCAAACTGTAAAAAAAGTTACTGATTTTTTTTCATCCCACTACTTCTGTCTGCTGCCACCCCAATCTGAATATCCAACTCAAGCATCTTCCATGAAAGACAATCAAACTTATCATTGCTCTCATTAAATTGGAAAATGAATTTTAAACTTTTTTTTTTTTTTAAAAGAAGATCCAAGGTCTGGGTCTGTGATTCAAACTAAGGGAAGAAAGGACTAATGTTTCATTTTAACATCTGGCCCCAGTAAATGAACAAATATTTGTGTTCTATTTAACTATTTTTAATGACATCGTGCTGGGTACTGCCAATGACACAAATGAAACCTAAAGACAGTGTTTTCACCTCGATGGACTTACAGTCAGGCCACAGACACAGGATGTAATGACATGGTAAGTGATCAGCAGAGCAAGTTCATCTGTGATGAGGCATTACACATACTCTTCCCATCATTAAGAATCCTCTGAATGAGACAGACTGTGCCCTAAGACTGCAAATCTCCCCTCCCGCTATAGAAACAGAACCCTTGTACACACACATGGCTGGGTCAGCCAACTTGGAGCCAGTGTCACACAGCCTCGGTCCCTGACCGTCATGGAGTGACTTGTTCATCCCTGAATTGCCTTTTGCTCCCAAATACTGCATTCTGCAATCACTGCCGGAAGTCAAAATCTGTTTTTGCGAACACTACACAGCGCTCATTTTTTGAATAGTCTTATTTTAAAACGTTTTATCTAAGATTAAGAAGAGTCAGCTCATGGTAATACATGCAGAAGCGTACTACGTCTTTGTATTTGCTCTACGTTTAAACTTGAGCACAGAGCTCCCTCCAGATTTTTAACTCTCAAAATGCAACAAATGAGAGAATATGGTCTTTGGTCTAGTTTGATTACTATCAATGGGTAAAAGCTTCATTTTACTAAGGAATTCTTTCTCTCTTTCTTTCTTTGTCTCTCACACTATCTCCAACCCAAGATTATTAATTTGGCTCACCCAAAGCCAAGTCACCTCAGATTGCTCAAAAATTAGCTTCAGCCTAAAGCAGAGGGAAAAGGGTAGCTGATCCAGCAAAATCCAAGTATAAAACATAAAGAACGCCTTCACAACAGTAATGAGCCATCTGCAATTTAGAATCATCCATGGTAACAATCTCTCGTTCCATTTGTTTATGTTTTATTCATCATTTTGAAAATACTTAGTGAAGTGACAAGGATGAGATTCAAAAAATACTTTACAGCTCTTTTTTTAAAAAAAAGAGATATTAATGGCTTTCAAGAGCTCAACTGTTCAGATGAAAATATTGCTGCATCCTATTATACATAGGATGGATAAAAAAAGGTCCTACGGTAGAGCACAGGGAACTATATTCAATATCCTGTTACAAACCATGATGGAAAAGAATAGGAAAAAGAATATATATATATATATATATATATATGTATAACTGAGTCACTTTGCTGTACAGCAGAAATTAACACAACATTGTAAGTCAACTATACTTCAATAAAATTTTTTAAAAAAAGAAAATATTGCTGAACTAAATTTGTCCAAACTGGTTCACATCGTTATTCTTAGATATAAATCTCCCATTTTGCACCAAAAAACGTGAGACGTTTCATAGTTATCATTTTTTATTATTTTAAAAATTTATAGCAAAAATTCATTTAAAATATACAAGGTTAGTCCTATAATAATGTAATAAACTGCACCGTCACATCTTAGAGGAATGTGTTGTCATTTCTCAGGACTATAGTTATATATTAAGGCTCAAATGCAGTCTCTAGTTACATATTTGGCAAAAACAAAGCTTTGACCTACAAAAGTGAAAAAAAGATAAGGCGTTCTGAGTTGTTGAACCAACTTGAGGGTGTCCACGGCTAAGAAGACACGATAATGCTTGACCATCCCATCTTTCATTCAAATAACTGTGAAGAAACCTCTCTCTACAAAATTTAGTAAGTCTTTAAAACTAAATTTATTCATAGTGAAATGACACACCTATTTCCGCTAGCTGATTTCATATTTATTTATTTGGTTTTAAATACTAATCTTCATTTACTTCAATTTGTGGAATATTTTCAAATAGCCCTATTTCAAATCTGGCTAACTAATATCTCTATTCTTTTCTTATTTCTTTTTAAACAAGCATACTTTGTAAATACAGTCCTTTATTTGTATATATGCCTTTCACTTTCCCAGTAAATGCTTATTTAGGGAAATGATTTACTATGCATGAACTCTGCCTTCCAACAACCTCTAGTTCCCAGGGGACGTGCAAGGGTGTGTGTGCGCACACAATCTCAGGATCTTAATAAATTACCTCACTTAATTTGTACCACTTAACCAGCCTGTGAGATGGATAATACTCTTCTCATTTTACTGATGAAGAAACAGGTTCCAGCATCTAACGTACTTTAAATCTAAATTTTCTTCCTATGATTTCATTCTGTATATTAGAAATTGAATCATCAGAAATTCTTCACTGTGTGTGTGTTTTTGGGTTTTCTTTTAAGAAACAGGTTTGGCTTTATCAATTTGGACTGAACCAACATCTTCTGAAAGTATTCCTCAGAGTGAAGCCTCAAGGTGACCTCATTTACAGTTAACAACGGGACAGGAAAAGACCATACGAATACTTTAACTCCCCCAACAAACAGATACTTTGGCCAAGACAGCACCGGTGTCTTCGGCATCATTCTTCCTGGGGAAAGCAGCTCTCAGAAAAGCCCACACACAGAAGAGGCACTTCATGGTCTTTTCTCAGTTTTCCCAGAGCCAGCCTGCTTTCATCTGCGATTGTGCAAACCAGAAGGCCGAGGCAAGGAACAAAAGGGAGATAATTGTCAAACAGAGAAAATTCTCAAGAACTGTGCCAAGGGGGAGATTGCTCTAAACAATCACAAGGCCATTAGCAAGTCCAGGGTAGAGGAGGGGGGAAAGACAGAAAATGAAAAGGCATCTCATGCGATAGCCAAACAAAAGCTGACAAGAAATTGTGCCGCATTTGCCGAGGCTCCTGCCAAAAATGTCCTCCAGGAAAAGTGCTGTGTGTCTCCAGGACACCCTTCACAGTGACGTTCACATAAAGCAGTACAATAAATATCACACAGACACGAGACACCCGTGTGACCACTCACCATAGGCAGTTCTCCCCTGATCCAGTTCTCTCCTGAGGCTGCTGTAATCTTCTTTAACACTTGCCAATTTCTGGACGTTCCTGGAACTCAGCACCAACAGTTTGTGGAGAAGTCCCTCCAGCCCTTCCCTCTCGGATGTTAATGATCTAATCTCCTCCGTGAGCTCCTTGGCTGTACAGAAATGGTTTCCTGCGGAAAAGGAGGGAAAACAAGCGTTGCCGCATCCCTACCTATGGAAGGTGCAGCGAGCATGCACTAACAGTGTGGGGAAAGGGGGATGAACTTTGCAGCTACATCCAACTGCATTCACAGTCTTCTGTGGAGGAATCTGGAAACACACTGACTGTCCTCCTTAAGCTGAAAAAACCACCAGTCCCTTTAGCAACTTATTCTCATTATATTCTGTTTTAGGGGGTTGCGTTGGCTAATTCACGTCCTTCTGAAACATGATGACACAAAAATATCACAGTGAAACCCAGGGCAGCCACATGGCATCATTCCATACAGACATCCAAATGTCAAAGAGGTGAAAGATTACAGTAGGGTGGCAAGGGACCAGGCCTTGGAGTCAAACTAGACCTAAATTCAAATCCCAAATTCAAAATCCCGGTTACACAAACTGCATGACCTTGAGCAAAGAAATCAGCATATGGGATTTCAGGGCAAACTTCTTATAAAATGTGATTGTGCATTACAGGTGGCTACAAGAATAAATGTGAAATTCTATAAAGCTCTGAGCATTGAATTTATTAGCAGGGTTGCAAGAATCAAGGTCAATATTCAAAAATCAATTGTATTTCTAAGTATCAGCAGCAAATAACTGGAAGGTGAATTTTTTTAATATCATGTATAAGATATTTTAAAACTCAAAATACTTAGGGGTAAATTTAAAGAAATACGTGCAAAACCTCTACACAGAAAACCATTTAAAAACTTCTGAGAGAAACTAAAGGAGACTTAAATAATTAGAAAGATATACTGTATATACATACATTGGAAAACTGAATACTGTTAAGGTTTTCATTTTCCTCAAAATGACCTATTGATTCAATACAATTCTAATCAAAACCTCATGTGGGTCTTTTGTAGAAATTGACAAGCTTATTCTAAAATGGTAAAAGAAAATGCAAAGGCCTAGCTAAAGCAAAACAATCCTTAAGAGGTAGAACAGAGTTAGAGGACATTTGCTACTTGATTTCAAACTAACACTGAAGCTACAGTAAATGCAGACAGAATGGCACTGGTGTACAAACAGACAAACAGATCAATGGAAGAGAACAGACAGTTCAGAAGTAGACCCACCCTCACACAGTTAAGTAATTTTCAACCAAAGTGCCCAAGCAAGTCAATGAGGAAAACAAAATACTTTCAACAGATGGTACTGGAACAACTAGCCACCTATATGGGGGAAACATTAACCTTGATACATACCTCAAATCACACACAGAATTTAATTAGAGATGGATCACAGACCTAAACGTCGAAGTGAAAACTATAAAGCTTCTAGAAGAACATATAGGAGAATATCTAACTTTGGAGCCAGAAAAACTTTAGATAAGACACAGGATATACTAATTATAAGAGAAAAAATGAATAAACGGGCTTCATCAAAATTAAAAACATCTACTCCTCAAAAAATACCATTAAGAAAATGAATAGGCAAGCCACAGACTGGGAGAAAATATTTACAATGCATACATCTGATGAAGGACTTGAGTCCTGCAACTCAACAGTTAAAACACAAATAACCCTATTGAAAAGTAGGCAAATGACACCACAGGCACATTACGAAGATATATAACTGGGGCCGAAAAGCGTATGAAAAATGTTGATGATCATTAGTTGCCAGAAAAATGCACATTAAAGCCGTAGGGATTCCACTACAAAACCATTAAAGTGGCTCAGATTAACTGGACTGAAACTGCCTGGTTGACAAGCACGAGGAGTTACCAGAACTCTCCCGTGTGACGGGAGCATGAAATGTACAAGCACTTTGAGACAGGTTCAGTCAATTTCTCATAAAGTTAACATACACCTATCCTTTGATTCAACAATTCCACTGCTAGGTATTTACCCAAGAGAAATTGTTGCAGGAAGAGGGACCCCTTCCAGGGCCCGAGAGTGGCCTTTTGTCTAACACTCAGAAATGAATCGTCCGAGAAGACACACGTGCTGACAAAGCAAGAGACTTTATTGGGAAGGGGCGCCCGGGCGCAGAGCAGCAGCGCAAGGGGACTCAGGAGGACTGCTCTGTCACGTGGCTCGCAGTCTCGGGCTTTACGGTGATGGGGTTAGTTTCCGGGTTGCCTCTGGTCCATCATCTTGATTGGCCCACATCTGGTCTGACTCGGGGTCCTTCCTCGTGACGCGCGCCTCTCTCAGCCAAGATGGATACCGGCACAAAGGGCTCTGGGAGGTTGGCAGGACATATGGGCTGGTGTCTCCTCCCTCCTTTTGGCCCCTCCCGAATTCTTCTGGTTAGTTTTCAACGGCAGTCCCTTATCGGGAACTCCTACTGTGAGACAACTCACAGTATTATTATCGTGCCTGGCCAAGACAGGCAGTTTCGGTCAACAGTTCCCCAATAAAATGAAACATGCAATCAACAAATACTTGACTCAAATGTTCACAGTTGCTTTACTCATTGTCCCAAACTGGAAACAACCTAAATGTCCATCTAGAGGAGAAGGTAGAAACAGTGGTACGTCGGAACTACCCAGCAAGGAAAAGGCACGAACTCTACATACACGCAGTGACGTGGGAGTATCTCAAGAAAAAGACACAAAAGAAGGCATACGATGGGATTCCGTTGATACTAACTTCTAGAACAGGCAAAACTAATCCGTGGTAGAAGACGTCAGAACAGAGGCCATCTGGGCAAAGGGGGATGATGACTGGGAACAGGTACAAGCGTGATGTTTCTGGGGTGATGATAACACAGGTGTCAAAATTCATGGAACTGTACCCTTAATATCTGTGCATTTCACTGAATGTAAATCATACCTCAATAAAAAAGGAAAACTATATTAGGGAATATTTAAGTATGAAAATGATACCAAAATTAATAAACATATCACATTAATAAGCACTCCATAAACAACAGTTATTGTTATTAGAGGCTCCGTTATATTTCCTAAGAGTTTATTATAACCATAATCATGATAACGGCTACTAACGTTCTCTCCTTCAAATCTCACCACAACCCTTGGTGATAATACACTCTATGTTATCTATTCCAAGATGCACTTTTTTTTTACATTTTAACATCTCGGAAACGGATGTGTCTTACAATTACTGTTATCTAGGAGGTGGTCTGGATGAAGTTGCTATTACGTGATTGTCATTCTTGGTGGCCTGACTGAGCATCTGTATCCCCCTGCTGTTTCAATGTACAAACCATTTAAGGACCCTTTTGAGTCCTGTTACCTTCTGTTGAGATGGATTTGTAAGATTAGGAAAGCACCAGCATTTAAAACTTGAAGAATGGTGTTAGCAGCTTGGCAGAAAATCCTACAGAAAACGGTAGTTCATTCTTGGAGAAGAAGAAAAAAAGGTGCATCACCAGTCGCCTCACTGATGCAAAGGATGACACTGTGTGGAGAAACAGGAGGCTTGACTTGAGTCGAACTGTGTTTTAGGCCAGACTAAGTATGAAACATCTTAGGGAAACCTTAATCCATTCATTTTCCTTTTTAAAAGAGTGATACGTGATGTTTTCAAAACCTTAACTACATCTAAAAGAGCTATTTCAATAAGTATAGAATAAAAACTCTAAGCCACAGAAAGCACTGTATCATTGTTTAATTGACAGCAATTTTTCCTTCTTAGTAGTATATAAAATAATGGCTCATTTTATGGTCACTAAAATACACATTGTTATCTCTACGGTGGAGAAAACTGAAATCTAGAGAATTACATATCTTGCTGAAGCTTCCATAGCAATAAAATGCAGGGCAACTTTCCAACTCAAACATAGCTCAAAAATCCCTCCTCTTAAGTATTAAACTGTGCTGTTTATTTCTTTATTCTTATTATTTAATAGGCAGATTTCAATATGATATCAGTGTGGGAAAGGTTACACAATTTTGTCCCACTTTAAGGGCATTCTGCACACCCAGCCCATGCCATTTCTGTTACTGAAATCCATAGTTTCAGATTCCATGATTGCATAAATATCTTTTGAGACTATTTATTGTCTCTCACTATGTGGGCACATACGGAAAGGGACAAGGCACTGGCCCTGCTCTCCAGGAAGTTACATTGAATAAAGGGGATAAGATGTACAGTAAAAAAAAAAAAAGGCAAATATGCTCTAGGAGGGCTCAGAGAAGAGTGATCATTCCAGAAGGGGAGACAGAGGCAGGTTCACCGACAAAGAACATAAGGTTCCCAAAAGGCGAAATGGGAACTTTGTTAAGCAAAGGGCATTGTCTTGCGGGGGGTGGTGCTAGCAGAAGAGAGGCACGTGACCAAAGACGGGCCAAGACATTGACAAGAGGGCTCCAAATGCCAAGCCGATGGGTTTGGACCCATTTAGGAGAAACGAAGTCCTGATAAGGAGAGCAGACTGGATGCCACAAACTTTGAGCTGTAAATGGAAACACAACGAAAACATTTCTGGATCCGTGATTTCTACGTGAACAATGACCGGTGGGGGCCGTTGCGAGTGGAGCCCCCATGAAGGGCCACAGAGAAGCCAAGGGACCTGCCACGCCATGGGGAGACCGCGGGAGGAGCCCGCAGCCCCAGAAGTGTGGTGGCCTCTGGGCAGAACTGCATGAGCACCCGCGGTGCCTTCAAGTTCCCTTCTCGGCCTGGGTTGAGGGAGCTCCCACCTTTCTGCTGGGCCATATTTTCAAGCCAGAGGGTTAGCAAAATGGTGGGGTGAGCACCAAGACTGCCCCAGAGACACCAGGCAGGAGATGCCAAGTGTGCAACTTCCTCTTGAGAACAATTCAGAGAGAAAAGACCTCCCAAAACAAACAGGAAGACACTACAGAGATGGAGTGAGTGCCAGCATGGAAGGTTTCCTGGAAATACATCCTCAGGCCCTCCTGCGACTCATCACCGGCTCTAGAGGCCAGAGCCTTAATAAAACATGAGAGATCACTAATTAGGATCCTGGATCCGAAGGGGTGTGGCTTGGGAAAATGCAGCGTCCTGTGGATGCTTCACACACACAGAATGAG